TTAACATCAGCCGCCATATTGGTACTCCCTAGTTAGACCAGTTGGAGTATAAACAATACCTGTGCAACAGCATGGAAGAACTCTTTTTTTTTTTTTTTTTTTTTTTTTTTGGTCCTTGGCATGCATTTATATAATTTTTTAACATCAGCCGCCATATTGGTACTCCCTAGTTAGACCAGTTGGAGTATAAACAATACCTGTGGAACTTGTTGGAAGAACTCTTTTTTTTTTTTTTTTTTTTTTTTTTTTAGGAGGGTTGAAGACTTTTAAAACAAAGAAAGTCACTATAGCATCTGTATATGACTATAATTTTTGGTAAAAATAGGCACATCACATTGCATATTCAGTACGAAGTCTATACATCATGTAATATAACATATACAAATCCATCACAACAAAAGTAGTGTGTTAATGGAGCATAATAATACTGTAGTCAGATATTAAGAATTTTACACATGCACAGTTGCACACACACACTATCTGATAATGAGCCAAAGGTGCTAAATTGGTGATGGACAATATGTCATATACATGTATTACATTAGAGGCATTTTTATGGTGTGACTCCATGAAAGTGGGGAGTACCAAGATGGCGGCAGGTGACCAGTTTTTTCGGTCTACAGGCATCCAGTGAATAAATAGAGATCAGTGGTTTATGTAATGTAATCCCTTTATTGTCCCACAAAGGGGAAATTAGTCTGCTATCCTCCATATTCTCATACTTTCTAATACAGAAAAGTTAACAATTGTTTAATTTATATTTTAACAGGGCTTTATGAAAAAGTCTTTGTTTTTTTTACTTTGCAGAATTTTAGAAAGGAATACTGAGTGTTATTTCTATCTGTTTGTTTTTTTGTGACAGTGAAAAGTGAAGCAAAAACCACAGAATAAATAATCCAAAAAAATAACACCTTAAATCTTTAATTTGTCAAACTGTCAAGCAAATTTACTTTGTGAGAAAGATATCATTTTTACTACATAAAGACCTTCGACCTAAACAATGTTTCCTTTTTTTTTTTTTCAAAAGTGGAAATCATGGACAACCAGAACAACAGAGCACTTCCATCTCCTGCATTGCCCAGTGTTTTGAAGGTTTGGGAGAAATAATTTTCAGTCATGACCTTTAACTGTAACATTTTTGGTGTAAATGTGGAACAGCTTTAAAACAGTTTGACATTAGGTCATATTAAGTTTCTATAAACTAAGGTCATTGGTTTTGATATCTTCCTCCAATAGGATCAGGGGCGGCAACATGCGAATCATTCCATTCTTTGGGGACTAAATTCCAACGATTTAACCAAAATGACCTGCGACAGAGCTGGAACAATAGAGGATTCGCTGAAGAGGAGCGCACAATTTCGCAAAATAACAGGAAAGAATAAAGACAAAGAGCTTGTTATTATAAGGAATAACAGAGCCATCAGTAAACACTTTCCTTGCACTTTAATTAATAAAGAAGACCGTCTGACTGTGAAGTTTGTCAAAGCTGTGGAGCTGCCGAAGAAGCCAGTTGGCGCTTATGTTTCTCTCTGTAAGAACAAACCAGCTTCGGAGCTTGTGAGTTTCCATGTGGTTACAAAGGGAGGTAAAGATATTGTAAAAATCCTGAATAATCGAGCTCTGCGAGCAGTGGCTGATGAAATAACTATTTATGCTTACAAAGGGGAGAAGGTGAAGCACGCTTTAAAGAGAGATGGCCGTCTTCTCAGCACCATATTTAAGAAGAACTTTGTGCTCTTAAACAGAAGCACTCAGGTAAAAACAGAGCTCTCCAACATAGTTGATGAGCTCAACGATGAAACATTCCAGATTACTTTACTTGATAAGTCCAGACCACCACAGAGTCTATCTGGCAGTCTTGATGAAGCATATCTGCTGACAAATGAAAACCAGAGTCAGTCTGAGTCAGAGAACGACAACACAATAAAACAGGAGTGTAATGATAATATAACATCAGGAAATGAATTGCAAGAAATTCCCAATTCAAAAAGCATGAAAAGCCAGCTGTGTTCTCGGTTTGAAGAATCTGTTAGGGCCTTAAAATCTCTGGCCCCTAACCCATCTCATATTCAAAATCTGCTCCGTGTAAACTTTGGTCAGAGTGCCCAGATGTGCCGTGAAGTGAAAGCCATGAAAAAGCTGATGGGTCTCAGTGATTCCGTCTGTCAGGTGAGAATAAACGGTGTGCCGAACGGAACTGGGTTCCTCCTGTTTGGCAGGTATGTGCTCACTAATGGCCACATCATTCAAGATATTTACGATGAAAAGAGATGCAAGCTAATCTCAAAGGTCTCTGTACACTTCTCCTATGACAGTGTGGAGCAAACAGATGGAGCACTGGATGTGGTGGAGGTTGTTGGCATTGACTGCAGCCCTGAAGTGCCTGGTGGTGATTGGGCTTTATTAAAGCTCAGAGATAACCAGAAGCTTGCTACAGCTCTGTTAAAACATTCTGGCTTTCTACCAAGTGACAGCGGAATTTGCATCATCGGGCATCCAGATGGAGGTGTGAAAAAAATCGATCCTTGTCTGATTGTTCCATCACACAGTCGAATTCAGGTTGCAAATAGACACCACAGGGAGAATCTGGAGCATGTTCAGTTGATTAGTAACGGTTTCTTTTTAAGTGTGGCAAAATCTATTCACCAAAAATCTTTCCTGACGTATGAATCCTGTTTCTATCATAGTTCTTCCGGTTCTCCTGTTTTTGATAAGCACAGCGACGTTGTGGCTGTGCATTCAGGTGGGTACATATACGAATCCGCTCGTGGAGAAATCCAGAGTGTGATAGAGTTTGCCCATCCTTTGCCTGCTATTATGGAGCGCTTCATTATCCAGATGGTAGAGAGACAGAATTACGATGTGTTGAAGGAGTACCTGGCTTGCAGCTACGCTCTGCATGAAAACGTTATGGATGGCGTAAAGAATCTGGTTGAGAGGCGAAATCTGGTGCGTTTCAAAAATGCAGTCAACAATTTTTTTGCTGTTGCCGATCAAATAGAGGAGAGTTTATACAGATTTTTTGAGTTCTTTCAAAAAAACGAACCTATCCCTATGGACATTTGTTGAATAGGTCTATGGTGAAAATGAATGCAGGGATAGCTGAAAGGATTTTCACTTTTTAAATTCTTTTTATTTTTTTATTTTTATTTTTTTGTCTTTTTTTTATTGATCAATGAAATTACTGTATTTCTTTAGAGGCTGCTAACCTCTGATCTACTTATATTCATGGTCATTGCAGCCCATTGTTTAGGATGAGGAAACATGCCTCCTTAATTTAATCACTTATCTTTTTTCTTTTTTTACTTAATTTTGAAAAGTAATTCAAAGCATTTATATAAATTTATGTTTTATTTTTATCATTTAGTGTTGTGTAATGATTTTACTTTTCAAAATGCTGATAAACATTTATGGGGGATGTGTTTATGGATAAGTGAAAACTGTAAACTACATATTTTGCTATATCCTGGCACCATGCATATTTTCTAGTTTTATAAGTTCAATATATTATGCAATGTCCTTATGGGAATGAATATTGTGTTTTAAACATTTTTGTATGTTGCTGAAATAAAGAATTTCCTATCTTATGTCTTTTATCATAAAAAGTTATTTTATTTCAACTGGAATTCTCAGTTAAACTTACAGAGGATGGTGATTTATACACTCACTCAGGTCTTCTATTTCCAGGCTACTCTGTACACCCAGAAATAGAACCAAACAAGGAGAATCAGCATTTAGTTCCTATGCTCTATTTACCTGGAACAAATTTCCAAAAGACTGTAAAAGTGCTGAAAGTCAGTTCTTTTTAAGTCAAAGTAAAAAACCCATTTGTTTAGAGCCTCCTTTGACTGTTAAACGGTTTACTTTGGTATATAATTTGTGGTTCAAATGTTTTTTCTTTACTAAGTGCCTTAATTGTGTTTTGTTTGTTTTTTTCCTTTTCTTGCTTTTTATTTTGCTTTTATTTTCCTTCTATTGCACTGTTTCAAACATGTCAAGCACTTTGAATTGTTTCTGTACTGAATTGTGCTAAAAAAATAAAATTTCCTTGCCTCAAGGTTATTCGTATGTATAGAAACTTTCTTCATTTTATCATTACCATGAACTTTATTGTATTTAATTTCAGTAAATGTGTAAAATAGATTCATAAAGCATTGTTTATAAATGAGGGGAAAAAAGGGTTTATAAAATAAAAAATATCTACCCATTTTATAATTACCCCACTTCTGAAACATTACAATTGTAAGTCTTTTGAGGCATTTTTGTTTTTACCAAGTTTAAACCAATACATACATTTTATGGCATTTTACACCAAACTTTACTGCGTTGTTATTAAGTGGGTCAAATGCAGAGGTGAATTTCTCAGTGTGAGATTAATAAAGTTGAATTATAGAATTTCATGATCCTTTGGGGCCCCTCTGCTCTGCAACACTGCAGTAGGAAGGGTTGATGAGGGTGGAAAAAGGCTGAGACAGTTTTTCATTGTAATCATGAAAAATACCTTTTCTTTAAAATGTTCCATCCTGTATATTTATAATCTCTATCCTTTTTGCTGCTGCTTAATATGACTTGTTTGAATTAGCGCAGTATAAATAAGAAATAAGCAGAAAGTTGGCTGCAAATTTAAGAAGGAAGCTTGAATAAACATGAAATTGAGGTATTTTTACTGAAGGGGACCTATATTGTATTTAATCTCACTGCTGGGTAATAATTTGGGGTTTGTGGCCCATTGTGAGGTAAAAAAAAAATAATAATAATTAAATATATATGATATACAGAAAAAGAATATGAATGTCAATATAAATAAATGAAAAATGCATATAAATATAATATATAAATGTGTGTGGGTGTGTGAACAGAAGAGGGCAGCACTCACCAACAGCGTTGACTAACTCAGCGGAATTGTTTGAGGCTTGCTACTGTTTCCCCACGGAAACTTTATCAACGGACCAAAACCACAGGCGGTATGGAAGTGTAAGAATTCCTTTTTTGTTATAATTTTGTTCATTCTGCCAAAGGCTTTGAATCTTCTGTTGTTTTAGGGATTCAGTCTGTAGTGGAAATTGCTTAAGTTTCCGCTTTGTTCCTTAAGCCCTTCGGCGGACATATTTAAATCGTATCTTTAAGGGGGAAAAAAGCTCAATTTACATTAAATTATAATGGAGCTAGTTTTAAACCAGTGATATATCTGGCCAGTTTTAGATCTGTTTAATGAGATATTTAGCTTTATTTTTTCTGGCAGATTTTGAGTTGTGTTTTACATCGATTATATTGCATTAAGATACAAAATTATAAAATAAAAACGTTCACTGTAGGGAATTCCCGTTCATCAAGAGACTTTTACTTTATTTTTTTGCGTATATTTTAATGAAAATATTCTCTTTAGCACAAAATTACTATAAATATCACCCAAGGCATTAAAATCAATTTATACAGAATCCAGTTTGGTTCTTGTTCTGATCAAACTTCATTCCAGGATTGTTTAACAATCTAGACAGAGTCGTTTGATATAAACCTAAATTCAACCCGCATTCTAATACAGTTGAATCAGATTTGGTGGGTTTAATCCCAAGCGGTAAAAATGTAATTATCTAAAGAATCAGCTTGGATGCATCAGGTCCTTGAATTAGAAGGAATCCCTTATTTTGAATTACCATGAAGCAGCAGTTGGAAAAATGACCAGAGGAGAAACTTCTAGCAAGTGGTTGAGAGTAAAGGAGGTAGAGAAAGGCTGAAAGAAAGCTATGAACTAATTTTTAATGGGTACTTTCTATGGTAGAGATCATTTGAAAAGCTTTTGCATAGAATATCTAATCTGTTTTAGTTTGAAAATGACTGAACATCTTCTAGTTTTTCTATTTAACTACATTTTTTGGTTGTTTTTGTTTTAATTTAAACACTTCATACTCAAACATGTTTTAGGCTTTTGCAAAAACAATAAAAGGAAAATATTGGTAGAAATTAAAGTTAGACAAAACATTTATGCTATTAGGATTTTTATTTCATCTGTTATTTCAGTCAGGAGTCTAAGCAGGAACAGCTAATTTTTGACCCCATTAAATTAAGTAAGTATGAAATAAGCCATTAACTTCCGAAATCCAATGTTATGTGATTGTGTATCCTCAGGAAAAATGCAAGTGCAGCCATGCTCAGCAACTATGAGGTAAGGCAGCAGGTTCCTCCTAAATCAACTGCTTTGTTGGTGGATCAGCAGATCGGTTACTAAAACGATTTTATGTTTCTTTCATGTACCCAGGTGTTCAAACTCCTCACTGATCTCAAAGAGCAGAGGAGAGGAGCTGGGAAAAGCAAACACTCTGCCAGGCAGCAGAACCTCAATACCATCATGTATGAGGTAGGAACATGTCTCTTTTTATTTTTTTTTTTAATCTTCTCTGTCATTTTTTAAATAAAAGCCAGCACTCCTCCTCTGCCTTCACTTTCAGACCCTGAAATATCTATCAAAGACCCCATGCAGCAGACAAAGTCCTGAGATCGTGAACCAGTTTCTCAGAACCATGATGCAACACAAGCTCACAAAGTGGGTGTGATCAAAAGCAATTGAAGCCCTCATATTTCTACCTCTGGATTTTGTTGAGTTGATAAGATGCTTTTATCCCTAAGCCTGGTGCTGATGTGTTTTCCCCCCATCAGGGCAGAAAAACTACAGCTGCTAAACCAGCGACCACAGACTGCAGTGGAAATTCAGCTGGTGAGTTTTTTTTTTCCGTCACCATCATCACTGATGTCTGTTACAAACATAACATTATATAAGATATTACAGACAGCAGTAGGGCTGAAAAAATTAATCAGATTAAACGTGATTAATCAATTATTGAGATAATCCTCAACTAATTTAGTAATTGATTAAAGGAAAATTCCGGTTTTTAACACTTTTAGCCCATTTTCTGTAGTGTCCAGGATGAAATCGAATGATCGACACCAAAATTTTGACGATTGGTCCTGTCTCTGCTATTTGGCTCATGCAGAATCCCCCCCTGGCTGCTTCAGAATGGCTTCCATAGTGCATGTCCGATAATGTCCTTAAAACAACCTTAAACGTTCTTTTTTTAAAATATGCTACTCACCGGGTCGTCAGCGCTGTTCAATGACGTTCCAAAAAAAGTTTCGTGAAGAAAAACCGTTCCTGTCTTGTTTTATTTAGCATTTTGTAAATCCCAGAACTATTTTTTCCGATACATCACAACCGCTTCCCGTTCGAATCTGAAGCGTTGCACACTCCAGACCACTAGTTGGCGACGGTATCCTCTACCGTCAAACTCAAAGTCCAATATGTCCTCCTCAAGAATCTACCTTTCGTATTCCATTTTCAGAGTTTTTTAAAGTGTTTAACAGAGACGTTAGCACCTCGACGTCGGAGTACACAGAGTGAAGCAAAAACACTTGGGCCTTGCGAAAAGTCTACAACTGTGTAAACAGGCCCCATTTCCGTTTCCGGTGGCGGAGGGATATTGACTATTCCAACAGAACTCAATGGGATTTACAAAATGCTAAATAAAACACTACAGGAACGTTTTTTCTTTACGAAACTTTTTTTGGAACGTCATTGAACAGCGCTGACGACCCGGTGAGTAGCATATTTTAAAAAAAGAACGTTTAAGGTTGTTTTAAGGACATTATCGGACATGCACTGTGGAAGCCATTCTAAAGCAGCCACGGGGGATTCTGCATGAGCCAAATAGCAGAGACAGGACCAATCGTCAAAATGTTGGTGTCGATCATTCGATTTCATCCTGGACACTACAGAAAATGGGCTAAAAGTGTTAAAAACCGGAATTTTCCTTTAATCGTGAACTTTACTATAGAGACTGTAAAATATGCTTTTAGCTGACATAGCGACCCACTTGGAGCAGGAATTGTATAAAAATTGTAGAACATATAATTTAAAATTATGATTAAAAAATGTTTTCTTCTGTCAATATACTCTATCCAGAACTCCTTGAGTGGAAAAGTTTTAGTTTCACCTGGTTTTATTTCGTAAAAAATCTTTTTTAAGTAACCTTTGGCTATCCATTCATTAATCGATTAATCTAAATAATAATCGACAGATTAATTGATTTGCTAAATAATCATTAACTGCAGCCCTATACAGCATGAATTTTGCCATTATACTCTGTAGGACAATGATGTTTAGCTGCTTTCTGTTTAGGCTGGGCATACCTGGACTGATTTGGTTATTTTGGAGGTTTTCCCCAGAATATAATCTCTATCAGAAATTCCCAAAGTTTACAAGTACTTTTCAAATCCAGATGGTCATGGCCGATTATTCTTTAGCTGCATGTCATTCTTTGCTTTGTAACCATGGTAACTGTGATATAGAAAGATGATATTAACTGGTTATTTACTGATATGAAGCCTAGAAACTAGAAGACTGCCAATGGGAAATACTTCCTAGCTCATTGATTAGTCTTCAAGTAAAACATTCTTGGACTCTTGTCTCTGTAAGCTCGCCCTTAATGTGCAGCAACAGGTGGGGGAGGCCATTTTTTTTTTTAGATCTTGGCAATTATGGTAAATTCAAATCTGAATATGGGATGAAGATTTTTATTCCAGAACTAATGGTCTTTCTTCTTCATAGATTTCTCCAAAATAAACATCTTTTGGTTCTTCTGTTCTGGTTCTTTTTCATCATGTCTTTTTTTAATGTCCTTCCTTCCTTTCTTTCTTGTGTTTTTCTTTAAGTCTTTCCTCCTATGCTTCCATCCCTCTGCCTTTCTCTTGTCTTTGTGTGTTTTTCCATTCTCTTCTTATATCATTCACATGATCTTTTTTTCTTGTTCTCTTTCTTTCTGTTTTTCCTTCCTTCCTTCCTTCCTTCCTTGTTTCTTTCTTTGTTTCTTTCTTTATTTCCTTCTTTCTCTCTTTGTTTCCTCATTTATTTCCTAATTTCTTTCAATCTTTCTTTCTTTCCTTCCTTCCTTCCTCCCTGCCTCCCTCAAGTTTTACACTTAAACTTGACCACTATTATAACATCTGCCATGATATCATAGTAAATGGGATAGTGTTACTTTCATGTTGATTTTACTTCTGAAATACAACCTTTATTTTGATTATTTTTTTTGCCTACTGAATTGTTAACAGTGATGGAATGTTGAGTCCATTAGTGGTTGCAGGTCCAGACATGGGATCATAGCCTCTTGAAACAATATTCAGTGAACAGGGAGGTCTGGAGTTTTTTAAAGCATTTAAGGGATCTATGCTGAAAAAAATCAAATCTAAACTAAATGTGATCCTTGTTCTGTTTAGATGGTGGAGGAGAGCGAGGAGCGGCTGTCGGAGGAGCAGATCGAGAAGCTAATTCAGGACGTGGCAGGCGTCCTCCCAGGTGACCCAGAGCAGGAGAACGCCACTCCAGCCGATGCAGAGATGGATGAAGGGGGAGAAGAGTCTTGACATGGTGGCAAGACTGAACATGACCTTTATGTGGAGAACTGGGGATGAGGCCAAACACGTTGCAGAACTGGTTTGACTTTCTGCAAGTTGCATCTAAAGCAACACAAGGACAGGATGCACAGGGACTCTAAGGCTGCAGCTAAAAGCTGGGTTGTTTTTCTTGTTGATTTGTTCAGCTATTTCCCAATAAACAGTTTGGACCAAAACATGCTCAGTGGCTTTTAAACAAAAGCTTTCAGCCTCTTAAAAAAAATAACATTCAAGAGAAAAATGTGCTAACAGAAATAGATAAGAGTTCTTCCTTTGAAATGTTGTGTTTTTGATGACTTAATTGCTTCCTTATACACACATAGGTAATGTAGTTACCTCTGTAGTTTAGGTTCCAGACCATAAACAAAACATAGTTTCTACTTTGAGAATCTATTCCTATAAGGAAGGACTGATAAATGAATTGTTTTTGCATGACTTTGTTTTAGTGTTGTTCTGTTGCAGCAGAGGGAGGATGTGTTGGTTAAGTGTGAACGCTTCAGAGTTTTCCCTTCCTGTTGGCATATACAATCAGTTTCCTGTTCTTACTCATGTTAGCTTTATTTTTATTGATGGTGTGTTAGTCTGAGCTTTCCTTTAACTCCTTAAACAGTTGGAATGCAAACGTAGAGCAACCAGTAGCTCCTTGGCTGAGAGAACTTTGAGTCTGCAACCTAGAATAAACGTTTCTCAGCTTTTTAGACTTTATGTGTGACACAAAATATAATTTTTCACTGGACCCAAACCACAAGCTGCTAGCATCACTTAACCTCGATCTCTCATACTTGGTACTTTGCAGCTTATCCTTCTTTTAGTAAGGAAAACTAAAACTAACTATGGTTGTACTTTAACATCTTCTATTAATGGTTCATTATTGTCTCATTATTTTTAGCTTCATGTTGTGTCTTATGTTGCAGTAATTTGATCGGCCTGTTTATAGGACAAGGCATTTAAACCAGGAGACCGTTAAAGCACATGTTGCTTTTTGGCTTATTTGACCTGAATAAATGATACAATTATTGGTGAGAAAACAATCCATAAAGATGTATTGTTAATTCCTCTTTCATTGTTTTTTGTACTATCCTCACCACTGATGGACAAAAGGTCTAACTTATGAATTATAGCAAATGCTTCAAGTACATTCCTTATTATAAAAATTGTAGGTTCTGGCAAAAATGACTGTATAAAAAACTAAAGTTAGACATATCTCAGCAAAAATAGATGCCAGCAGAACTCTTAAAAGTCCTGTATTATGGAAATATTATAGAGAATATTAACAATGAGGCCCCCAGAGCTTGTTTTTGTCATTTGTGCAGGAAAATTCATCTTAGATTAGGCAGACAGCATGTATCAAAAAGCTCCTTATTCAGCCCTCTACTAAACAAGTTGTTTTGGCTTTCCACCCCTGTCCTCCCGAAGGCCGCGCCGCCACAACCCACAACCATGGCACCCAGTCAGAGCAGCTTGAGATAATACATTAGATGAAGGCTAGAGCTTAACCGACTGGCTGCTACAGACCGCTTTTATCCCCCTGGTGATGTCAGGAGGGGAATTTTTTTCAAACAAAACATTTTGAGCACATTAGAGGGGATGAAATTTGGGGAATGTTTTTTTTTCTTTTATGTTTATGTATGTGTTTATGTTTCTTTTAAAGTTTATGATAGGAATCTTGCACAAAATTGAAAAAAAACATTTTAGAACTGCATAGATTATTATTGATGAGAATAAATGTTCTTAATGCTAGTTGTTAATCTTAAAGGAGCTTACAAGTTGAACTTTAGGCCAAAGGTTTTATATGTTAAGACAGAGAGGAAGTGAGTCTCTTCTATTTTGAGGAAATGCAAGAATGATATTCAATTAGGTAAAAGTGTTGAACCTACATTAATTTGCCTTTAATCTAAGCAGGTAAATAAGATGCCGGTTAAATGTTTATTTCTGCCCTTAAAATTAGATAGTTAAATATTATTCTTTTGAAATAAAATAATGTTTTGTCTGAATGTAAATCCTCTCCTTCCATCTGCAAATTGTCTTAATTACCTGCTCAAATTAAGGAAAAAAAAACATTTTAAGAAGACATACTTAGAGTTTAGTTTTTGGAGTGTGTTAGTTCCTTGTTTTTATTTTCATTTAAATGTATTGCTGTAAGCTGTTAAACAAAAAACGAAAATGCCAGATTTACCACGTAAAACCAAGGGTTTAGCCTGATTTCACCTCAGTAAGCCTTCTTAAACCCTTTAGCATTCCACAGGACAAACATAAAGACGCACAAAGATAGCCCTTCAGAAAGGTCAGAAGCATAAAACCTTCCTATTGGAGGAAAACGAACAACAAAATTAACCAAAGGCTGCTATTGGTTGTGCTTGGATACAGTTATTTGCACAACCACACTGAATTTTAATAGGATTTCATGGGAAAAGCGAGAACAGCTCAAGACAGGGCCCAATAGAACCAGTCCTGACCCCTGTTATGGCCTCTATATTAAATGTTTTTTATATAATTATATGCACTGCCGCAGAGAGCATCATTGATTGCTCCCTTGGTTCTATGTAATTTTTACCTTTATATTTTTATTTCAAAAATGATTTACCGTAAAAATGGTGTTTCACTTTTAGCTTCAGTCGTATTGAAATAGGATGGGCTTTTAAGGTTTGCACTGATGGCAGTTTTCTTGCAGGTAACATATCTTTAAAAGGGCTGATATGCCGATTCTGATTATGACATAATATTTTCATAACAGTGGGTCAAAGATCACACCTTGAATGTTTTAATTTAATTTTATTGCGGTGGAAAAAAAACAATGTAAACACCTGTGCACCAATAAATACATGTTTTATCTGCACAAGGTAATACTCTCAAATATAAG